GCGTGCCAGTGTGTGTGTGTGTGTGCGTGCCAGTGTGTGTGTGTGTGCCAGTGCGTGTGTGTGTGTGTGTGCCAGTGTGTGTGCGTGCCAGTGCATGTGTGTGCGTGCCAGTGCGTGTGTGTGCGCGTGCCAGTGCGTGTGTGTGTGTGTGTGCCAGTGTGTGTGCGTGCCAGTGCGTGTGTGCGCGTGCCAGTGTGTGTGTGCGTGCCAGTGCGTGTGTGTGCGTGCCAGTGGCGAGCTCCAAAGTGGGTCTGACCAGGCCTCGGCCAATCGGCGACGTCCATTCACGAGCGGTTGGGGCATCGTTTACATTCGATGCCATCGTAACGAATTAAGCTTTCAGCGCGTATCTCCCCAAACTCGCTTAACGACCAAACTCGCTTAATGACCAGTTTCGCGGAACCAATTACCGTCGTCAAGAGGGGTTCCACCGTATTGGTATTGGCGTGCGCGTGCGAGTGACACGATCCCACGCTCTCCCCTCGCTCCGCTCGCTACCACCAACGCCTTCCCAGCTCGTGACGCCACCACCGCCGCCAACTCAGGGGGGCGGCGCGACCTCCGCCCGCTCTGCCACCGGGAGTAGCGTGCCCCCCCCCCACCTCTGCCCCCCCCGCCTCTGCCCCCCCCCCTCTGCCCACCCCCCCCCCTCTGCCCGCCCGGCTACGGCGGTCGACACGACCCGTAGCCGATTTTGCCGGCCGATCTTGCCGTCCTCCGTCACGCAGCTCACAGGTTAACGGTTTTTCCGCTCGTTAAAATTTTGTCCGACGGACATTTATCGGGATTGTGAGAAGCTGGGGGGGGGGGGCGGGGGGGGGGGGCTTTGGCTTTTATTGCTCCGGCTCTCAGCCGCGGGCTGCGGGCCCCCCCCCCCCTCTCCACCGCCCCCGGCTCCGCTGGCTCACCACGCCGGCGCTTGGGGGGTGGTATTTGCGTAACATTTTGCCGCGGCAGAGCGAGCTGCGCCGCGGTATTTACAGCGGCGATGGGCTTCTTCGTTCTCGCCTCGGGGTGGCGGGGGGGGGTGGGGAGGGAGCGGGGGGGGGTGGGGAGGGAGCGGGGGGGGGGTGGGGAGGGAGCGGGGGGTGTGGGGGGGAGCCGGGGGGGGGCGCTGGCAACGGCGGCCGCGTTTGCGATTTATAAAAAAAATTTATGTTTTAACTGCAGATTTCAACGTAGTATTTCTTATTTTACCGCTGGCACTTTTAACGCCGAATCTTGCACTTTTTGGAATTCCTCGATCGACTCAAACTTTTTTAAAAGATAAATTAAATGTTTGAAATTATACGATCTTATCCGTTTCATTCTTTCCATTCGCATTATTATTATTATTCCGTGTTCCTCCGACGTTGTTAGACCCGTCACGCAAACGGGTGTGCGGCCGCCATCGATGAAACCCGACTTGAAAGAGCATCTTAGCTCGCAGGGTACTTGAAAATCAACCGAACCGACGGACCCCAGGACGGTCCGACGAGCCGACTCCTCTGCGACACCTTCCTCGAGATGATCCTGAAGTGATCGAAGCTTGAGAACGAACTTTGCGTTTCGGGGGACCAGCAACGGTCGAGAAACCGGCCGCGTTGACCCACACGAGGTGCTGCCCAGATCCCGGCTGGTTTGTAAACCCCCCCCCCCCCCACCCCGGCACGCTTCGCCCGGCACGGACGATGCCGCCGACGGCTTTCCGCGCCGATAATCGACCGCCGGCACCGGCACCGCGCGTTTTTTGGCTCGACTCTCCGGTTTGAATCTCGGCCGGCAAACGGAGAGTATTTATTCTAGATTTGAAGCTTTCGTGACTGCATTGTCTTTGAGTTGTGCGCCTTTTGGCGTCATCTGGTCCAACACCATGTGAGACTAGGCTCTAAGGCTGTCTCGGGTGTGGACCAATCAACTTCAAGGACAGTGCACATTATCAGAGTTGTGTTTTTTGTTTGTATTATGACTGCAGGTATTGTGGTCAATGTAAACATGACTCCTGGTAAAAAAAGGTGTCAGTTTTGTTGCCAGATAAAAGGGTAAAAAAAATAATTATCATATTTTTTACTGGCAAATGAGGTTCCAATGGTGTATATGCTTTACCCCGAGCTCTCATACTCTGATGGTGCATTGTCTTTGAGTTGTGCGCCTTTTGGCGTCATCTGGTCCAACACCATGTGAGACTAGGCTCTAAGGAAAGCTGTCTCGGGTGTGGACCAATCAACTTCAAGGACGGTGCATACATTATCAGACTTGTGTTTTTTGTTTGCATTATGACTGCAGGTATTGTGGTCTATGTAAACATGACTCCTTGTAAAAAAATGTGTCAGTTTTGTTGCCGGATAGAAGGGTAAAAAAACAATTATCAGGATTCATATTCTTAGGTTTTTTCTTTTATTAATTTTTTTTTTACCTACGTGAATTTACCGAAAAAACCTAAGAATATGGCAAACAGAGACCCAACGGAAAGGCGGAGCAAAGACCCCATCCCCCCCCTCTCCACCCTCGTTCTTCACCGACGACTCCCCTCCCCCCATACACCGAGGGTGTCGATGACACGGCCCGTCTGTGCGGCGATTGCCGCCGTGCGGAGCAGTTGTGTTTCCCCTGGGAATTCGGGGGGCGGGTGATTTGGTCGCGCGGGATAGATGAGCTTTCACGGCCGAGTTTGTTCACGGCGTCCGTTGTTCCGCGCCGCCCCCCTCCCTCCCCGCCGACTAACGAGCGGGAAGGAGGAGGAGGGGGGGGGCTGGAGAATGACAACGGCGTTCGCTGCCTCCCGCGCGGTGCTGCACCACCGCGCCAACCGGTGACGAACGTACGCGTATATATTCTTAGGTGTTTTTGGTAAAGTCACGTAGGTAAAAATGTTTAATTAATAAAAGTAAAATAAAGTAAAAATCACGACGTTTCGGAGGCAACACAAGCTTCCGTCTTCAGGTGGAACCGTCACAGCAACGACAGCTGTATCAAGTGTGATTTTTATTTTATTTTTATTTTACTTTTCACTTGATACAGCTGTCGTTGCTGTGACGGTTCCACCTGAAGACGGAAGCTTGTGTTGCCTCCGAAACGTCGTGATTTTTATTTTTATTTTATTAATTTTTTTACCTACGTGACTTTACCGAAACAACCTAAGAATATGAATCCTTGCAGTCACGTGTATGTATATCTCGACCGCTCGTGGGTCCGAGCGGTCGCCCCGTGCCGAGTGTGGAGATCGGCACCGGGGGGAGAGACGGAGGCGGTCGGGCGTGCCGCTCGCTCATCCACTCCGTGGCGTGGCACGGTGCCGGCCTTCGTTGGTGCTACTCTCTAACGGAGCTTGCCCCAACAGTCTGTTAGAGGCTATGGGGTGGGGGGGAGGGTTCTTTGTACGTGTGTGTGTGTCTGTGTGTATGTGTGAGTACGTGTGTGTGTTTGTATGTGTGAGTACGTGTGTGTATGTTTGTATGTGTGAGTACGTGTGTGTATGTTTGTATGTGTGAGTACGTGTGTGTATGTTTGTATGTGTGAGTACGTGTGTGTATCTGTATGTGTGAGTACGTGTGTATGTGTGGTATCTGTATGTGTGAGTACGTGTGTGTCTGTATGTGTGAGTACGTGTGTGTGTGTGTGTATGTGTGAGTACGTGTGTATGTGTGGTATCTGTATGTGTGAGTACGTGTGTGTCTGTGTGTGTATGTGTGAGTACGTCTGTGTGTGTATGTGTGAGTACGTGTGTGCAAGTACCTGTGTGTGTCTGTATGTGTGAGTACATGTGTGTGAGTGTCTGTATGTGTGAGTACGTGTGTTTATCTGTATGTGTGAGTACGTGTGTGTGTTTGTATGTGTGAGTACGTGTGTGTGTATGTGTGAGTACGCGTGTGTGTCTGTATGTGAATACGTGTGTGTGTGTGTCTGTCTGTATGTGTGAATACGTGTGTGTGTCTGTATGTGTGAGTACGTGCGTGTGTGGGGAGCGGTGGTGTAGCGGTTAGCGCTACGAACCCGGCGACCCGAGTTCGATTCCCGCTCACGGCCACCAACACCGCCAGTGACGATCATCCGAACCGCTCCTGGACCCCCTCCACCGAGTTCAACTCGGCCTCAAACGAGTACCCGGTGCGGTGTGTAGTAAACATCGCACGCTGGGGAGACAAAGGCAGCCAAGCGTGGTGCTGGCCACTCACCCGCTCGCTGGCAGCGCTTGCGTTCAGGTTACACGGGGGGTCTTTCTCTTTGTTCGTCTAATGGGGCGGGAGCGGCGGAGGAGTTGATTGGCCGTTGCGATGCGACCTCAACGACCCCGAATTCCCGTGTCCCGGCCACCGCTAGAATCGGGTGACGGGTGGCATCCGAGCCTTTGGCGGGCATTGATGCGGTTTTCAAACACCGGCACCTGGGGGGACTGAAGGTTGGGGGCCGGGTGGGGCACAGGCCACCCGCCCCCTCCGTGTGGCGCGCGCAGGTCTTGATCGGTGCTACTCGCCAACGGCACGATCCGCTGGAGGCTATACGGAGAATGTTGTTAGTGTGTTGAGTGTGTGAGTGTGTGTGAGTGAGTGTGTGTGAGGGTGTGAATGAGTGAGAGTGTGTGAGTGAGTGAGTGTGTGAGAGTTGGAATGAGTGAGAGTGTGTGAGTGAGTGTGAGCGAGTGGGTGTGTGAGTGAGGGAGTGAGCGAGTGTGTGTGTGCGAGTGAGTGTGTGTGAGCGTGTGAGTGTGTGAGTGAGTGTGTGAGTGAGTGTGTGAGTGTGTGAGTGAGAGTGTGAGTAAGTGAGTGAGTGGGTGGCTGGGTGCGTGAGTGGGTGGGTGAGTGAGTGAATGGGTGAGTGGGTGAATGAGTGAGTGGATAGGTGAGTGGGTCAATGAGTGGGTCGGTGGGTGAGTGTATGAATGAGTGCGAGTGGGATTGTAAACCCGCCAGCCACCCTGACCCACCTCCCCCATCGACGCAGTACCTCATCGTCATCCTCGTCGGACGAGCGAGAACCACCCTCACTCCTCCACCCCCCCCCCCCCCACCGACCCCGCACAGGAGCCGCACCATCCCGGCTCCCGGCTCCGCCCGGCCCCCCGGCTCCGTCTCCGCCGGCCGTCCCCTCGGGCTCGGCGCGCGGGCGCAAGCGGCAGCAGCCGACGGAGACTCCGGCGCGCGTCGCCGTCGCCGCGGCGGCGGCTGCAGCGCCGGCTCGCACGCCCGACGTGGCCCCGGCGGTGAAGCGGGCGAAGCGCGCCGTGCTGCAGGACCCCGAGCGCCAGCACGGCGTCCGGGGGAAGGCGCCGGCGCCGCGTCGAGCGGACGCGGAGAGCGACGTGGAGGACGGCGTCTTCCCGCTGCGGCCGGAGCTCGACACGAGCGGCGGCTACGGCGGCTACGGTGGCGGTGGTGGCGGCTACGGTGCCGCCGGCGCGAACTTCACCTTCGCGGGCGAGGGGGGCGGGAGGGCGCCGCTCGACACGACGATGACGCTGGGGGGCGACGACGACGACGAGATGGACGCGGAGCGGGGCCCGGGCGGCGATGGTCTGCCGCAGTTGGGAACCGGAATCCTGCGCCGGTGAGTGAACGGCGCGGGCAGCAGTGCCATGGCCGTGTGAGTGGGTGTGTGGGTGGGTGAGTAGGTGAGTGTGTGGGTGGGTGGGTGGGTGGGTGTGTGGGTGGGTGGGTGGGTGGGTGTGTGTGTGGGTGGGTGGGTGGGTGGGTGTGTGGGTGGGTGGGTGGGTGGGTGTGTGGGTGAGTAGGTGTGTGAGTAGGTGTGTGAGTAGGTGTGTGAGTAGGTGTGTGAGTAGGTGTGTGAGTAGGTGTGTGAGTAGGTGTGCGGGTGGGTGAGTAGGTGTGCGGGTGGGTGAGTGGGTGAGTGGGTGGGTGTGTGGGTGGGTGAGTAGGTGGGTGAGTAGGTGGGTGAGTAGGTGTGTGGGTGGGTGAGTAGGCGGGTGAGTAGGTGGGTGGGTGGATGTATGGGTGGGTGAGTAGGTGGGTGAGTGGGTGTGTGGGTGGGTGAGTAGGTGGGCGAGTAGGTGGGTAAGTAGGTGGGTGAGTAGGTGGGTGTATGGGTGGGTGAGTAGGTGGGTGTATGGGTGGGTGGGTGTATGGGTTAGTGAGTAGGTGAGTAGGTGGATGGGTGGGTGGGTGTATGGGTGGGTGGGTGTATGGGTGAGTGAGTAGGTGAGTGGATGGGTGAGTAGGTGGGTGTATGGGTGAGTAGGTGAGTGGGTGGGTATGTGGGTGAGTGCTTCAGGGAGCATGTTGTTGTGACCTGCAGCGTGCAGGATGAGTTGACCAAGTGTTTGGCAGCGACCGAATCCGTCGAGTAACCACAGCAGTAGTCGTAGCGACAGAAGAGTGGTCAGGAGGTGACTGATTGCGCGCGGAGGGTAAGCGAGTGGTTGCAGCGAACCGTCACGATCAAAATGAACCGCGGGTTTTCCTACTCGCATTCGGGAACCCCTCGCGAAAGCCCTCCGCGCGCAAAAACTTGCGTCGCCGCCTTGAAACTTCGACAACGAATCGTCTCAACGGTCGCCCCTCCTCCAACTTTCGGAGGGCGGTCCGAGAGACGAAATCACTTTGCTTCAACCGGCGTAAGACGTCTTACGTGGGTCCCCCCCCCCCACCCACCCCCCTCAGGCTGAGGCTGCCGGTGCTGGGAGAGGCAGAAGGGAACGCCTCCCAGAGCGATAGGAGCATCAGCATCAACAGCAGCATCAGCAGCAGCATCAGCAGCAGCAGCATCAGCAGCAAGCCGGGCTACATGGCGCTCACCACAGCCGCCCAGGGCAAGCGGATGCAGAGCAGCAGGTGCTGCAACTTCCCTCCAGCCGTCCCCTTCTTTCCCGCGTCTCCCTCGTCCCCTCTCCCCGCGTCTCTCCCTTCTCTCCTCGCATCTCCCCGTGTCTCCCCGCATCTCTCCGCGTCTCCCCCTGCGTCTCCCCCTTCTCTTCCCGCGTCTCCCCCTTCTCTCCTCGCATCTCCCCGTGTCTCCCCGCGTCTCCTCGCATCTCCCTGCGTCTCCCCCTTCTCTCTCCGTCCGCTCCCCGCGTCTCCCCCCACGTCTCCCCCTTCTCCCCCCGCATCTCCCCCTTCTCCCCCCGCATCTCCCCCTTCTCACCCCACGTCTCCCCCTTCTCTCCCCATCCTCTCTCCACGTCTCCCTGCGTCTCCCCACGTCTCCCCTTCTCTCCCCGCATCTCCCCCCGCGTCTCCCCTTCTCTCCCCCTTCTCTCCCCCTTCTCTCCCCGTTCTCCCCCCGTTCTCCCCCCGCGTCTCCCCCTTCTCTCCTCGTCCTCTTTCCACGTCTCCCCACGTCTCCCCCTTCTCTCCCCGCATCTCCCCCCGCGTCTCCCTTTCTCTCTCCCTTCTCTCCCCGGGTCTCTCTTTCGCGTCCCCGGCTTCCCACGTCTTCCCCCCTTCCTTTCCCCCGTGCGTGCCACCCCCCCCCCCCGCACCTCCGCCTCATCGGCCCCCCCTCCCTTCTCTCCACCTGCCCCCCCCCCACGCGCAGGTCCGTGTCGACGTCGGTGCTGCGGGAGACGAACCACGCGCTGCGCGACGTCTCCGCCGCAGCTCAGCGCATCCCCGTCGAGACGCAGCCTGCCAAGCAGCCCCTACGCCTCTTCAAGTTCAGCGGTGAGGACCCGGGGGAGGGGGGGGGTGTGGGGGGGGTAGGGGGGTGTGTGAGGCGGGTGTGTGAGGGGGGTGTGTGAGGGGGGTGTGTGAGGGGGGTGTGTGAGGGGGGGGGTGTGAGGGGGTGGGGTGTTTGGGGGGGGGGGGTCAGGTGGCTTCCAGGAACCGTAATCGCCACGTTGGAGACACGGAGCCGGCACCGCCGAGAAACCTGGGTTCCATTTCCGGGGTTGGCGGCGATTAGAACCGGGTCCACGAGTGTAGAGAACCCCGTAGACTCGCACAGAGAGACCCACAGATCGTCAATGAGACCCACAGACTCGCACAGAGACCCATAGACTCGCACAGAGACCCATAGACTCGCACAGAGACCCATAGACTCGCACAGAGACCCATAGACTCGCACAGAGTACCCAGAGACCCGCACGGCCGGTATCCACTACCACTCGCTCGCTCACCTGTTCGCTCACCTGCTCGCTCACCTGCTCACTCACCCGCTCGCTCACCTTCTCACCCGCTCACTCACCCACTCACTCACCTTCTCACCCGCTCACTCACCCGCTCACTCACCTGCTCACCCGCTCACTCACCTGCTCACTCACCTGCTCACTCACCTGCTCACTCACCTGCTCACTCGCTCACCTTCTCACCTGCTCACTCACCCGCTCACTCACCCGCTCACTCACCCGCTCACTCACCTGCTCACTCACTCGCTCACTCACCTGCTCACTCACCCACTCACTCACCTGCTCACTCACCTGCTTGTTCGCTCACCCGCTCACTCACCTGCTCACTCTCTCACTCACCTGCTCACTCTCTCACTCACCTGCTCACTCACCTGCTCACTCACCTGCTCGCTCACTCACCCGCTCACTCACCTGCTCACTCTTTCACTCACCCACTCGCTCACTCACCTGCTCACTCACTCACCTTCTCACCCGCTCACTCACCTACTCGTTCACCTGCTCACTCAGCTGCTCAGTCTCTCACTCAGCCGCTCACTCACCTGCTCACTCTCACTCACCTGCTCGCTCACTCACCTGCTCATTCGCTCACCTTCTCACCCGCTCACTCACTCCCCCGCTTGCTCGCTCACCTTCTCACCCGCTCACTCACTCACCTGCTCGCCCACTCACCCGCTCGCTCGCTCACCCACCTTCTCACCCGCGCACGCAACGCTCCACTCGTGCGGTCCTCCCGCTAACGACCGCCGTTCCCCCTCCTCCCCCCCCGCTCTACCCCCCCCCCCACCCTCCCCACCGTGCCCCTCCCCCCCCTCGGCTCACCGCAGGCATCGGCGCCCCGCCGCCCGGCGCTCCGAGCGCGATGTCCCGGAGCCGCTCCATGGGCAGCCTGGCGGTGCCGAGCCAAGGCCGGCGGAAGCCATCCTCTTTCCTCTTCAACCTGCAGAGGCGCAGCAAGTTCGGCAAGTGACGGCGTCGCCCGCTCGTCCGCCGTGCCCCGGCCGCCCCGGTTGTTGGAACGGCGCGGAAGCGGCGGCGGGTCGTCTCGGCACGAGAGTTCGCGCCGCCGTGCGTGCGCGCGTCATGCGCCCAGCGGTCTACTCACCGACCGCCCACTAACTCACCCACCAACCCACCCACCTACCCACCGACCACTAACTCGCCCACCCACCTACAGACCTACGGCCTACTAACTCACCCACCCACCCACCTACCCACCGACCACAAACTCACCCACCCACCTACAGACCCACTGCCCACTAACTCACCCACCCACCTACAGACCCACCGCCCACTAACTCACCTACCCACCCACCCACCTACCCACCGACCACTAACTCACCCACTCACCTACAGACCCACCCAACTTCCCACCTCCCACTAACTCCCCCACCCACGGCCCACTAGCTCACCAACCCAAACTACAGACCCACCCACCTTCCCACTGCCCACGAACTCACCCACCCACCTACCCACCGACACACCCACCTACCCACCGACCACTAACTCACCCACCCACCTACAGACCCACCGCCCAATAGCTCACCCACCTAAAGACCCACCCAACTTCTCACCGCCCACGCACTCCCCCACCCACCTACAGACCCACCGCCCACTAACTCACCCACCCACCTACAGACCCACCGCCCACTAACCCACCCACCCACGGCCCCACTGACTCAACGCAGCCGTCCGCGAGTGGGACACGGGGCACAGTGGGGGGGGAGGGAGAGGAGGGAGGGGGGGGTAACCGCTTGCTTGTGTGGGTGGAGCGTTGCATCAGGGACCCTGACTCCCCGCGCCCCGCTTGCTTGCAGATCGGGCCGCGACGCACCGCACTCGCCTGATGATTGGTAGTCGTAGAAGTCCAACACTGGGCCTTCTCGCTTGTGTGTGGGGGGGGGGGGCGCAGGAAGGTGGGGAAGGAGGGGAATTCCCACCCCCGCCACGTGACTGCACTTTGAGCCCCCCACGTGTCTCGTCTTAGCGTGAGTCCACCTCGAGTCCCCCATGAGTCTCCCACGAGTCCCCCTCTCCCCGAATGTTTACACTTCGACCCTCGCCGCGCTCGCCCCCCCGCCGGAGGCCGAGGGGGACGTGGCGGTCCTGGCCGCCGCCGCCGCCGGCGTGCGCCGCGCCGTGATCTCTGGCGCCTGCGGTTGCACCATGCCAGCGGACTTTGCCGCGTCTGAGCCGCCACCCACCCACCCCCCGCCTTCAAACCGCGGCGACGCTCGAGGATTCTCCGCCATTCCGCGTTCGCTTAGCCGCCGCCGCGTTTCCCGCTGCTCGTTAAGCTGGCACGGGGGGGACATTTTACCGGTCGGCATCTGGAATATAAATATATAGAGAGATATAGATACACACGTATGTATTGTGTTGCCCGGGCATTGTCGTTCTCGTGCCCCCCCCCCCCCCCCCCCAAGTGTTTCGCGCCGAATTCCCACTCTGGGCTCCCGTTTCCACCCCGCCCCCCTCCCCCCGAACACTTTGCCGTTGCGGCAGTCAGGTGACAGGGGACGAACCACTCGCTCGCAACGCTCGAAACGCTCGCAACGCTCGCGCAAGCGGTGGCGGCGGCAGACTGTGAATTTCTCCCGACGAATTCCCCCCCCCGGGGTCACTTGGGGGACCCGTGGGACACGTCGCCACCACGTTCCCCGCTCGTGCGCGCCATCCGACGGCTCTTTTTCCACCGCGCCAACTGAGCCGTGCTGACGGAGAAGGCCCCCCCCCCCCTCGGCACATTCAAGCGTCGTAGTCTGTGAGGCCGTGGCGTGTAGGCGACTGAAAGAAAAAAAAACACCTCCTACCGTGCCGCCCCCCCCCTACCGTGCCGCCCCCCCCCCTACCGTGCCGCCCCCCCCCCCTCTCCTCCCCGCCCCGCGCGCCGTCGTGGCTCGGACGCGCCAGCGGAAGAGGGTCGGGGAGGGATGAGGGGGGGGGGGGCCGCCGAGAGAAGGGCGCTTGACGAGCCCCACCTCGGTGGCGTCCTCGTTGGCACCGGCTCTGTCCGCCCTCCGTCGCCGCGGCTTCTTTGCGTTTCCGTTTCGGATTGCGTCTGACGCGCTCGTGCGGCCGGCGCTCTGCTACCTGCTGCTGCTACTGCTGCGTGTAAAAAGAGCTCGCGGATCGCGGCGGAGAATGTTTGTTGTGTTTTAGATTTTGCTAATAAACGTACCGCGCCCGTCGTTAGCACTCGTCCATTCTGCGTGCCGCTGGTGGTTTTGAAGGCTTCCCCCCCGTCTCCCGTGTGCCGTGTGCCAGCGCCATGTGCACAGCACCTCCTCCAGCACCATGTGCGGGGACACGTGGGATCACTTGGGGTCACGTGGGGACACGTGGGACACTTGGGGACACGTGGGGTCACGTGGGGACACGTGGGGTCACTTGGGGTCACGTGGGGACACTTGGGGACACGTGGGGTCACTTGGGGTCACGTGGGACACTTGGGGTCACGTGGGGTCACGTGGGGACACGTGGGGTCACTTGGGGACACGTGGGGTCACGTGGGGACATGTGGGGTCACGTGGGGACACTTGGGGTCACTTGGGGTCACGTGGGACACTTAGGGTCACGTGGGGACACTTGGGGTCACGTGGGACACGTGGGGTCACGTGGGACACGTGGGACACTTGGGACACGTGGGGTCACGTGGGGTCACGTGGGACACGTGGGGTCACTCGGGACACGTTGGGACACTTGGTACACTTGGGGACACGTGGGACACGTGGGGTCACGTGGGGATACGTGGGGTCACATGGGACACGTGGGGTCACGTGGGGTCACGTGGGACACGTGGGGTCACGTGGGGTCACGTGGGACACGTGGGACACGTGGGGTCACTTGGGACACGTTGGGACACTTGGTACACTTGGGGACACGTGGGACACGTGGGGTCACGTGGGACACGTGGGGATACGTGGGGTCACATGGGACACGTGGGGTCACGTGGGGTCACCTCGGAAGGCTGAGCAAATTTCGCATGCCCGCACCTGTTCTTGGGAACCATTGCGAGCATCGTGACTGATTGCATCACCAGCTGGTGTACGGTAACTGCACCGAACGGCACCGGCAGAAGCTTCAGAGGGCGATGCGGTCCACCCAGCCACTCACAGCTGGGCGTGTTGCCCCCCCACCCCACCCTCTGGGAGACCGCGACACTAAGGGGGGGGGGGGGGGCATCGCCAAGGCTCCAAAAGGTCAAAAGGTCAAAAGGTCAAAAGGTCATCGTCACCACGGGCCCATGGCCCTGTTCATCAGGAGACAATCCCAAGCTGAAACCCGGGGCGACATCGCCACATTGCGGCTTCAATCCCCAGGACATCCGGATGCTGAGCTGAGCTGAGCAGAGCCCCGCGCAATCTCTGTCCAAGCCGTGCCAACCTCTGATTTTTGCTTCTCCTTACCCCAATTCACACACTCCTCCCCTCCACACCGACTGCACTAGACATTAATGGCCTGCAGGGTCAACGGCCAGGGCGTGGTGTATTCCGCAAGTATGGCCGACTGTGAGGGCGGGCACAAGCCGGCGTGAGTAGGTGAAACGTTGAGTTTTATAAGGGCACCACGGGGTGCCAGCCCCTCCCCACCTAGCCCCAGCCCCTCCCCAGAGGTCACACGACAGTTCACACGACAGGTCACGCGAGAGGTCACGCGAGAGGTTACGCGACAGGTCACGCGAGAGGTCACGCGTGAGGTCACAGGAGAGGTCACACGGGTGTCATCCGGGGGGTGAGGGGGGGTTGACCAATTGAGATGGCTGGCAGATCTACGCGCCACACGCACGCGCGTACTGATGCGCACAAAAGCTAAAGCCCCCCCCCCCTCTCGTGTAGTCTTCACGGACTGTTGGGGCAAGTGCTGTTCTCGCAAGCAGCACCACCGACGAAGAAGGTCGGTGGGGGATGAGGGGGTGGGGAGGGGGGGGGTGAGGGGGTGGGGAGGGGGGGTCCCAAAGAGTCGTTCAAGATCGTCGTCAGCGGTGTTGGCCTCTTGAGCACGAATCGATCTCGGGTGGCCCCTCGCCTTCCCAAGACACGTGGAGACACACACACACACAGCTACCGGATTATAAGACACACCCAGCTTCTCTTTAAACGGGGAGGGGGAGGGGGGGGAGTGCACCCCCACCCCCGTCCCTGCCACCCGTGTTCAGTGAACCGAGTAATTCGCCTCTGGATAGAAAGCACCGATCACCCCCCCCCCCCCCGCAATTAGCACCGTGCGATTAACTCCTTAAGTTAATGAACGCGTTGCGTTAATTGGCGCGTGTAGACCATCACAGCAATTGTCGCTAATGGAAGGGGGTGGGTGGTGGGCGAGGGGGGGGGGGCTGGCTGGAGAGAGGAAGGGGGGGCTGGCATCATCCGTAACCCTCTCGACGCCACTGACCCTCTCCGCGGTGTGCGGTACAGCAAGTAGGCCCGCGACCTCCGCTAAAGGGGCAGCCCCGCAAAAATGGTGGTCTTTGGCCTACTCTTCCATCGGCGCTGGCGAGTTCGTGCGTCTCGGGGGAGTCGTGAGAGCAACCCACATCTCGCTGCGGTGGCTAGGAGATGTTAACTACCTCGCCTGGTACACAGGAGGTCGTGGGTTCGATCCCGACCTTGACGTCTGCTGCTGTGTATTTGGAGTCTGCGTCTCTCTCATCATCATCACCACGGTGGCTAGGAGATGTTAACTACCTCGCCTGGTGTACAGGAGGTCGTGGGTTCGATCCCGACCTTGACGCCTGCTGCTGTGTATTTGGAGTTTGCGGTGTCTCTCTCTCATCATCATCACAGTGGCCAGGAGATGTTGACTACCTCGCCTGGTATACAGGAGATCGTGCATTCGATCCCGACCATAACGCCTGCTGTATATTTGGAGTGCCTCCGGCATGAAGTTCGCGACTCTGAGCTCACGGCCACCAACGTCGGTGAGAAATATCTGAGCGCGTCCCTGGGGTGTGTGTGGTGGGGGGGGGGGCCCTTCCCGAAGGTCAGATTCAGGACATGCATTTCTAACTTGCAGGAGGAATCCGATGAACTATAAAGCTTTTTTTTTCTCACAAATATCAACAGTAAAGGGCACGGGGTAAGAACGTTTCAACAACGAACAGTTACAAAACTACGATAGGAGTGCCTAAACAAAAATCCCCCAAACACACAGAAATACAACCAAGCCATCCCATCCTATTCTTAGGTTTTTTCGGTAAAGTCACATAGGTAAAAAATGTAAATTAATAAAAGTAAAAAAAATTGTTTTTTTATTAATTTGAATCTTTTACCTACGTGACTTTATCGAAAAATTTTAAATTAATATAAGTAAAAAAAAATTATTTTACTTTTATTAATTTAAATTTTAATTTTTTACCGACGTGACTTTACCGAAAAAACCTAAGAATATGAATCCTTGCAGTCACGAAAGCTTCAAATCTAGAATCATCCCGTCCTACCCAGGCAAAGTCCCACTGAGGTCTTAACTTATTTTTCAGAAGCTACCCGGTCATCACGAATGTGATAACGCAACGAAGTGGGCCCAATCATTTGAACATTCATAGCGACCAACGTAATCTCAACAATCTCAAATGCGCGTTTCTCATTGTGGGTGCCCTGGTGCAGCTGCCTAAAACATCGCCACTTGGGGGGAGACAAAGGCGGCCGAGCTTGGTACTGGTCTCGTGTGCCGTGCCAGCCTTCGACAACAGCACTTCCCCAACACGCCTTGACAAAGGCAGTGATGTGGCGCATCTGCCACTGCCTGGGGGTGCGAGATGTCCTTTCTGGAGGGTGCGAGACATGGCCAGAACGTGAGTAGACAACTTGACTTTGTTTCATCAACACCCTCTGTGTAGTTATTAACGTCGTAACTTGATTTTTTACGATTGGGATCCAAAGGGGGGGTGCAAGGCTGCAGTAAAATGTACCCTAGCCGATACCCGGCTACCCGTACCCGGCCGGGTACGGGTAGCCATTTGCGACCCTGGTGCGGCCGGGTACGGGTAGGCCGTGAGTCACTGATGAGTAACCGTTTGTCACTCATTTCGGGTAGGGTACGGGTGGGGAATCAAAACTCGTTTGCGATCTCTGCATTGGGGGGGACCAAATCTCCCAGGGGGTCCCCTCGCCCCCCCTAGAAAAAAAATCTACATTTGAAAACTAATTTCCTGCCTAAAATATTATATTTTTATTTATTTTTTGCAATAATGTCTAATAGTGTATTGTAT